TTGTCTCGCAGGACTTGTCCACATACCGATTAATGCTGCTCACCGGCAGCGCAACTGCAAAGGAAAATTATTAACGCACCGGTTACCGAGGTCGCTCAGACCACGAACGCTACACCGTTCCTACGCCAAGTATTTTCAGTCGGTGGGCGCGTTCCGCGCGCAGCGGAGAGCTGGGAACCAAGAACGAGCTTGCTTACCCGTAACTCGATCTCTGGTGTGTCCGTCGTCCATGAGGCAGCACGGAACAAATCCGGACCCGATTCCTGCTCGAAATGTTCACAAAAGTCGACCGCCTCGCGAAACCACGAAGAAAAACAAAACCATCGTCGAATAAACAGACGAGAAAGGATCTACCGCACCGAATACCGAAGCAGCCTGCCTCGTACGACGTACACAAGCCGAGCCGGGGAAAATTCGCTCCTCGGCGTGACGTCACTTTGACTGGCCGTGAGAGGGCGCCACCCCAAGTTCTCGGGGCTAATAGAGAGAATTGCCCCTTGGAACGAGCTACCCGTATGTTGCGACTGGTCTCTCACCAAATACAGTAAGAAGACCGTTGCTCCACAGTTTCTTCAGAAAGAGTTTATATCTTTACAAGAAAGGATATCTAGAGGTTGCAACGAGTACTATACCGACGGGTCGAAATCTTTAAGTCACGTTGGTTGTGCAGTTTATTCTAGTAACTTTGAAAGAGCTGTACAGCTTGACTCAATGGCAAGCATCTTCACCGCAGAGCTCTATGGTATTTTATTAGCCATTGAGCATATTCTGGACAACAATGTATTGAACGCAGTCATTTTTGTCGATTCGCAAAGTGTCTTATCTGCTATTTCTTCCAGAGTGTCTACAAAGAATATACTTACACAACATGTTCGTATTAAAGTAAACAGAGCTCTTCGCCTTGGATGCACTATCAAATTTTGCTGGGTACCGAGTCACGTAGGAATCGCAGGAAATGAGAATGCAGATCGCCTGGCTGCATCCGCCACAGACTCAATAGTATCTTTTGGCCTGCCCTACCAGGATTTTAAACCACTTCTAAAGAAGTCTCTTTTAAAGACTTGGCAGCTGGAATGGGACACTGAAACCAACAACAAGCTCCACGTGATTAAACCCATGATAGGCATCTGGGAAAGTTCATTCCACAAGAACCGCCACCTTGAGGTTCTGCTTTGCCGCTTGAGAATTGGCCATTCACGTTTGACACATACATACCTTCTAAGTGGCGAAGATGTTGCAGTTTGTGCCCATTGTGGGGAATTACTTACAGTTTTACACATTCTATGGGAATGTAGGTTTTATCATCAACTGCGCGTATCATGTTTTCCTGAACTCTTTAGAAACCATCTTCCCTTTCATCCTATGTTTTTACTTAAAGACAATGCCTTAGTACCACTCGGACGAGTTTTTGATTTTATTAACAAAACTGGATATCTACACCAGTTATAAAAAGTTTCTCTAGCCTAGCATCTGTTTCATTCGATCTTTAAAACATTTTGTTTGGCGCATTATGGCCACCGTTGCCGCTGCGCCATTAAAATCTTAATCCTAACCTAACTGTAGTCCCGCCCAAATGATGATCCCAATGTTTTCCACCTAGTTTGTGTTGACTCTACAATCTTACTAATTTTATTAGGTTTATTTTTTCAGTAGCTTATTTACATACCTTTTATAGATGACTAAGTTACATTTTATGCAATGGAAGTGTCGCGGTATTTTAAGAAATATTGATGATGTGAACTATTTCATGGATCAGCTTCGGCCCATTGCTCTCGCCTTGCAAGAAACCCATCTTCAGACTAATTCCTTTAATATTTTAAGACATCATCAGGTTTTTAGAAAAGATCGCCCCTCTTCCACCCCTTCTGGTGGTGTTGCAGTGGTCGTGCAGAGTGGAGTTGCTTGCTCTCAAGTTCCACTCTGCACGCCGCTGGAAGCTGTCGCAGTACGTCTCCTTCTGGACCGCCTTGTAACAATTGTTTCTTCATACTTACCACCTAACATTCCTTTAAACCTTCAAGAACTGCAGGGACTTATAGGACAGCTCCCGCAACCTTTTTTAATTTTGGGTGATTTTAACGCCCATCATCCTATGTGGGGTAGTACCCGTCAAGACTCCCGTGGTGGTTTGATTGAACGTCTTTTATTGTCTTTGGGGCTGTACCTTCTTAACGGGAGAGCCAACCTTTTTTAGTGCAGCACACAACTCATTCACATCCATTGATCTTTCTATTGCTTCACCTTCATTACTTCCTTGCTTCTCTTGGAAGGTTCTTCATAACCCTTTTGGAAGTGCATTATCCAGTCGTTTTAGAGAGTACCGTTTCATTGCCTAATCTTTTAAAGCGGGTCCCTAGGTGGAAGTTAGACAAGGCAGACTGGGCGCTTTTTAATCTTCACTCCACTTTAGATCCTTCGCTTCTTTCGTCTATGTCCCCTGAGAACGCTACACTTTATGTTACTGAGCAGATACTAAAGGCTGCTCAGCAGTCCATTCCAGACATCTGGTAATATACCCAAAAAATGTAAACCTTGGTGGAATAACGAGTGTGCCACAACCCGGGCGGACCAAAATGGGGCGTGGGGCAGATTTCGCAGATACCCCACTTCAAGCAACCTTGTTGAGTTCAAGCGACGAAAAGCCAAGGCTCGTTGGACTAGGAAGCAGGCAAAGCGGAAGTCGTGGATGAAGTATCTCTCTTCTTTAACCAGCTTTGTTCCAGCCAAAGAGGCCTGGGACAGATACTGGAAAGTAAATGGGGATTACAGGTGCTTTGCCATTCCAACGTTTAATGCCCCTTCTTCATCACTAAAAGATATTGGCAACATACTTGGGGAACATTTTTATAATTCATCTAGCTCGGCCAACTACAGTGTTACTTTCGGACAGTTAAAAGCTCGTGCGGAACGACAAAAGCTTGTCATGTCAGGAGGAAGTTCAGCATCCTATAACCAACCATTTACGCGATGCGAGCTTGAGATGGCTCTTAATGTGACAAAGCTTTCTGCCCCTGGTCCTGATGGAATTCATTATGAAATGCTGCGCCGCCTTTCTTTAGAATCCCTTGAAAACCTTCTCCTGTTTTTTAATCTTTTGTGGGAAAAGGCATGTTTCCCTCGGGCTTGGAAACACGCACATATCATCCCCCTCCTAAAGCCTAACAAAGACCCCTCACAACCATCAAGCTACCGCCCCATTGCACTAACAAGCTGCCTTGGGAAAACATATGAAAGGCTTATAAACAGGCGACTGGTCTACATGTTAGAAAGCCAGAGGGTATTTGATAACAATCAATGTGGATTTCGCCAAGGTCGATCTACCCTTGACCACTTAGTTCGCCTGGAGACTGTGATACGTGAGGCATTTGTAAACAGGCAGCACTGTGTTGCAGTTTTTTTCGACTTAGAAAGGGCATACAACACAGCGTGGAGGTATGGGATTCTCCGAAACCTGTATGCCTGTAATATCCGGGGTCGTATGCTGCGAATCATAAAAGAATATCTGACAGACAGGGCTTTCCAGGTTCGTCTCGGCTCAGCCCTATCTGATTCCTTTGTTCAAGAAAACGGAGTCCCTCAAGGGGGTGTTTTAAGTGTTACTTTGTTTTTGCTAACAATGAATTCACTCGCACAACTGCTGCCACCCTCTATTTCATATTCTCTTTATGCTGATGATATACAGATTTCATCATCGTCTTGTAACCTTTCTAGTTGTGAACGCCAGTTGCAGTTAGCCGTAAAGAAACTGTCCAAGTGGGCCGACGAAAATGGGTTCAAGTTCTCTGTTTCAAAAACGGTCTGTGTTCCTTTTTCTTTACGACGTGGGCTCTCTTTGGATCCATCCCTGGAATTGAATGGAACTCCTATACCTGTTAGGAAAGAGCACAAATTTTTTGGTGTGATATTTGATAAAAAGCTTAATTTTATTTCCCACCTTAAAGTGCTGAAGCAAAAATGCCTTCAGTCGACAAACCTTCTGAAAGTTTTATCTCACAAGTCTTGGGGGTCTGATAGAAAATGTATCCTGCAGCTATACAATGCCCTTGTACGAACCCGCCTTGACTATGGTGCAGTAGTGTATGGGTCGGCTCGGCCCTCTGCCCTTAAGATGTTGGACTCAGTTCACCATCTCGGCTTGCGACTGGCAACCAGAGGTCGGCATTTTAGGTCGCCCTCACTCACCCTCACCCTCACAGCCACACTTACCTAAGCCCCTCACTCACCCTCACAGCTACACTCACCTTCAGCCCCTCACTCACCCTCACCCTCACACTCACCTTCAGCCCTTCACTCACCCTCACTGAACCTCACGGCCCTCACGCACTCACCGCCCTCACGGCCCCCACGCCCCTCACCGCCCTCACGGCCCTCACCGCCCTCACGGCCCTCACGCCCCTCACTCACTCATGGCCCTCACGCCACTCACCGCCCTCACCGCCCTCACGGCCCTCACCGCCCTCACGGCCCTCACCGCCCTCACGCACTCATAGCCCTCACGCCACTCACCGCCCTCACCGCCCTCACGGCCCTCACCGCCCTCACGGCCCTCACGCCACTCACGGCCCTCACGCCACTCACCGCCCTCACGCCACTCACCGCCCTCACGCCACTCACCGACCTCACGCGCCTCACCGCCCTTGCGGCCCTCATACCCCTCACGCCCCTCACGCACTGATGGCCCTCACGCCACTCAGGCCAGCTTCAGATGGGGCAATTTCGCCCAGAATCTTTACGTCGCAACATCAGCACACTGCTATCCCATCTACATAGGTTCCTAACCACTCATGCTCATCTGTGCTGCTAAGCACAATTGAAATTGCTCCCGTGCTTGTCTAAGACACAAGCTGAGGTGCAATGAAAGTTGATCTGAGCTGCTCCTAGCCTGCTCCAGAATGTAGTTTTAGCTGCTCCCAACCTGCTCCAAAACAGCTGTTTCAGCTGCTCCCGTGGTTGCTCCCAAGTACATTTCATGAGTTCCACCCCTGAATATACATAAAAGTTGTACAGACAAAGTTGTATCACATCAGACAGGTTGCAAAGGAGGACTCAAAGAATCAAGCACAGGGAAAAGTGTATTGCACTAATATGATAAACATAGCCATGGACTAAGCCAACAAACCAGCAGGGGCATGTTACCATGCACTACATGCGGCACACATCATGCCAGTGGCAAGAGAAACCACTTCCACTGATTGCCAGCAAGTTACAAGGTTAGCGGCTATCAACATCTGGCTGAGTGACCTTAATATTCCCAACAGCACTGTGCTCAGCTGTGGTGCTGATAGTCGGTAACCTCTCAAATGATTGACGCTCAGAGGAAATGGTTCCTCCCGCCACTGCAACGGAAGTCCCCCAGACGTTAAAAAAAATAAGTAGCCTGGATAGGGTTTTGCACTTGTGCAGGGCGAGCACGGCGACCCCGTCGAGACGGACGACCCCGATGGGCAGGACGACCCCGACGAGCAGGGCGTGCGTGGCGAGCGGAGGCAGCCACCTCCCTCACTTTGCGCCGCCGCATCACTTGCCCTCTCTCCCTCAGGGTCCGGGCTTGGGGTTCACTGTCGCTGCTGTCTGACCCCTCACAGTCCTCGGAATCCGACTCATCAGACACGAGGGGCTCGGGAACAGGCTCTGGGATTGTGCAATAAATGCACACATTGTGCAAAATGACACATGCAGTGGCTATATTGCAAGCCCTCTCAGGGTCGTAATGGAGGGCTCAATTGATACCTCTGTAGGCATCTAAATCTGTTTTTTAGCATGCCGATGCATCGCTCCACAATTGAGCGGGTGGACCGATGCTTTCTATTGAAAGCGGCTTCGGCTCCAGCTGGGTTGCCTGCAACCGGGGTGAGCAGCCACGGCTCCAATGGGTAGCTGCTGTCACCTGCACACAACAATGTGACAGGATTCGTCATGAATATTCTGCCAAAAGTCTGAATGCATTTCTGCAACATAAATGGTTTTCAGGGCAAATGCAGCTTCTACTGTTGGCCACACGATAGGGAGTTGTGTACTCTATCCCACTTTCCTGCGCAAAGATAAAAAGGACAGACTGGACAATGCTTAAATGAGATGCTACCCTACAGTCTAATGTCTGTAGGGTAGCATCAGGACACCTCAGAGTGCATTGCTGCAACTGGGAGCAACCTAGCTTCTATTTGAAAAAATCACAGTCATTAGTAGACACTGAGACCAGGTAACCCAGGAGACTATAGACGAGGTAAAGCAACTAGAGCCACAAGCTGTCAGTGCCCCTCACTATTTCTCTCGGATAAGGAGTGTTGCTTTTTAGCTAAGCAAGGTACCCTGCTCAAGTCAGTTCAGGAGCGTGTGACCTCTATATTGTATGTTTTCTTTCCCCGGCTTGTTTGGTTGTGTCACCTGCAGCATTTGCACTCGACGTCGGCACTATCGGCACTAGTACAGTTTAGTTGTAGGTCAGTGCTTTTATCTGTTTGGGTACCTTTTACTCTGTCCGTGTCGTTGCACCATTTGTACTTTAAAGAACAAATTGCTAAGTAGCCCCAGTTGTTCCTCACTTTCACGAGCCATTGCTGGTTTCCTGGTGGCTTGTGGCCAGAGAGATTTTGGTTGTCAGACTGCATACTGCCACAAGAAAATTTGTCGAACTACTGTGGCAGGTAATTAAAAAGATGAATGAAATAAAATTGTCTGGAACTGGTGTTTTTAGGTAATACTGTGTATATTTTTATATGACCTCTGGAACATATGAAACATGCAACAAAATTGTGGCCAAAGTCAAGACGGGACAATTTTCAAACTACTTACCAAGCAGGCACTCGTTAGCTTGAATGAGCTTCCCGGCGACAAACTCCTCTCTCAGAAGGGATGCCCGCCACACAAACGAGTCTTGCACCGACCCTGGAAATGTCCCATCGAAGCTCGTGATCCTCAAATCGGCGTTGCAAACCTGCAAAATAAAAATGTGGTATTTAGCGTGTTTGTTGGCTATTGAGCTACTGCATGATGCCCAAAGCAAAAATGCCTGCAGTCTTCTCACACGTTCAATGAACTCAACTTTTCTGTTTCCTGAAGTTTAATAGGGAATGCCAAGTGTGAAATATTCATTGGTGTTAAATACACTGTGATGATTTTTAAGTACTAATGATCAACTCAAGCGCGTAGCATAGAAAACATGGCTCCCCCCGGTTCTAATGCGAGTAGAGGTAACGTGCACTGTACTGTGAGCCTAAAGCATGCAACATCACAACAGCTGAGAGGTTTCGATAACCTCAGCCTTAGCCGCATCTTGCTGGAGAGGCGGTAAAAGAAGAGAGGAAAATAAATAAAATGATATGAGCATAACTTGTGCGGGGTGTTCGGGTCAAGGACATCTCGTCGAAGGCCAACTTGTCGAATAGGCGAGCTCGTAATAGGGCAGCTCGTCGAAGGTCAGTTAGCTAAAGAGGTAATCTGGTTGCCACTTTTTTTAACATTGCATTTAGCTTGTATCACAACTGACCAGTTAGTGTTTTCTTTTGCACATTATCAGTTCATACACTCTGGACAGGAAGCACTATGTTCACATGCTCGATTCATACCTCAAAAGTGACATTATGAGCTCCCATCACTACGTGCTAGCAACCCAACGATGAGAAAAACGTAAAACTAGAAATCACAACACTAATATTCTTGGAGATTCAGGACACAGGGGAAAAATGTGCGATATGAGTGTTTTAAGAAGTGTATCTTCAATCTTTTCTGCTTTCCATAGTGCGATTGTTTGACCAGAGACCTTCACCTAGAAATCTATCTCAGATAATTTGACAAACTGCCATGCAACAAGTTTCCCCTTTCTGCGAATTAGCCTATGATAAGTTAGTCTTCGACAAGTTGATCTTGTACGATTTGGCTCTCAATGAGCTGGCCGAACACGTGTTGCTCCATGCTGTCCCAAGTGGAAGAGGGAGATGCCTCTTTGGGTAACACAATGCCTGTTGTCACGAATTGCGCCAATCTTATGAACAAATAAATTTCATGCATGATGTACTTGCTGAGGACCCCTAGGCGCATTCACACCAGCAAGTTGCAGCTGTTGCACAACAACTTTTGTCACAGAAGTGACAGTTGCAATTGGCAAAAGCGACAGGTCGGGAGCAGTCGCTTCGAGGACATTTTGCAACTTGTCGCGGTTCCCTGTCAGCAGAACCAATTAGCGGCACCTCGGATGTGACATGAGTGCGCCTCACATTTGTTTACATCCGGTACGCCGAATATTTGTGCCAGAAGCAGCCGACATGTCTGTTCAATGCCTCGGTTCGTGGTAGTGGCTGGGGATACAAAACCATGGAGGTCTCTGCGGCGCGGCTCTGGTCCCCACTATTAAATAATGCTCATTGCTTTATAAACGCAGCAGCCCGATTTCAACTAGCGCCGGAAAAAGAACCCGGCCTGGCAGCAAGTCTGTGCCGCTTCTTGCTAGGTATGTGCTGAGACGCGGCTGCTCGAGTGAGTGCACGCCCAAGTAGCAATTGTTCTTCTCTCTCTGTATGGTTCCGAAGGACTCAAGTCAACATAACAAGTCTTTCATATGGTAATGATGACACACGTGTAGCTGCGAGACAACAAAAATGCAAAAGTAGCGAAATGTGAACCCAAGCTGTGGTGGGGTGCACTGAATCGACTGTGGCTACTGAGAAGTGACTCGCCGAACACCGGCAGTGTGAATGTGCAGAGGTCGCATGTCGCTACTCGCCAGGGTGAACGTGCCTTTAATGTGTTAAATGATTTCGCCATCCGTCACTTAAAAACCATTCCAAGTCTACTAGTTATCTTTCACTGAATATACATCTCGCCAGGCGTTTGGCGCATGCGTGGTGCCACCACAACTTTAGTTCGCAGGAGGCACACTGCAGTGCATGAGGACTCATGCCATCTCCTGCTCTACACGTGCAGAGTTCCAATGGGGTTGTTGCACGTGCAGAAGAACTAAAGTTCCCTCGAGGCATTGCGGCAGCGGTGGCATAGTTAAAATGGCTAGTGAGATCCGTCTATTATTATTTCCAGGCTGTTAAGTTCGCCTGCATTGTGATATCCATTGAGCTTCGAGGAACAGACCGGGAATTGACGAGCACATGCCAGGCACGCACATTGTTACTTAGATTTCTTTTTGACAACCTGTGCTTTATACATGGTGGGCACACCAGAATCATCCTCTGGCCACCTATCACATATGTATTGAAGAGTTTTAGCGACGGTGTCACCGCCCTGGCGGCTGGTCGCCGAAGGAGAACGAGGGGGATAGGTTCGCTGGGCGTCAGCTTGGTGTAAATGCGTTGGCCGCGAACGTAGGCTTATAAACTTTGGCAGCAAGAATATTATGCGGCTCTAGTGTTCCGGTACGAGCAACAGAGGTGACACGATCTGCTACGACTAGCTATGACCACCCGCCGCAGCGATGCAGGCGTCGAAGGAGCGCAACCTGTGTACTGCGCACTTAGTCGCCGTCGCCCGCCCGACGCAGGTCGTTTGGCATTGAGGGCGTTCCGCCCCAGGTTCTTCGTATGTACTTGGAACCGAGTATTATTTCCTGTGCTTGTGTATGTGCTCAGTGGCTGGACATGGACCTCATAGAGCAGTTCTTCAGACTCAACAGCGACTCAAAGTTGACGGCGGAGGGGCTTGCAGCAACGCTTTCGGTTGGTGCACAGGTGCGACGACTACACGGATAAATTTTAAGATTGCTGCTAGCAAGGTGGGCCATAGTCGCTTTATGTTGACACGATTTTGAGTGCAAGTACTCCATGCAAATGCGAATCTATCGCGTTTCTAATCCACCTTTGTTTTTTGTTTTTCGCACGCACGACCAACTGCTAAGCAAATGCTTCTGTGCCGATCACGGAGTGAATGTCTTCGGCCTTACATTGCGGAACGCCCAATAAAAAATCATATTCGTTCAGCGAGAAAACTTCCCTTTCGAGTGACCCTCTTTGATTGATAATTTCTCCCGTACTTAAGTGCTTTAATCAACACGATCGATTAAGTTTGCTTCCCTTGTTAGGACATTTTTGTGCCACATGCGGCAGTAATGCTTGGCACGATGTATGCCACTGGTGGTATTGTGAATTGGTTTACTTCCAAAGCTAACAGTGTGACAGGTGGGACCATTCAATTTGCTAAAAATGTGATATGGGAATTTCGTTGCACAACTAGCGTTTTACGTTTAAGATTGATAAGAAACATGCTCATGTGATGATGCGTGTACAGCATAAGCTTTGCAGATCCAGAATGGACGTGCTATAGGCTACAGCCTCAAGATGTTTAATGGACCATATTTGTGATTACACGGCAATAAATATTGTGGTGGAAAACTGCCCATTGACTCGGTGAGTTTTGATCTTGACCATTCATTGGTGTGCTGTTGGCAAATTAGGTAATGGCACACCTTTTCCCTGATCATCTGGCTTCAAGGGACATTGCATCTAGATCTGCTTAAATAACTTTATTTCAAGGTTCAGTGGACCCCTCTGCATCATTACAGGAAGGCAGTCTCAAGCCACAAGAAACAGCAGTGAATATACAATACATAATAACAGGCACCAGTGTCCAGGCGTATAGTCCGCAGAAGCCAATTTGAGCCTAAAAATGTTTGTTTTGTTTAGATAGTTTGCCTCTGGTGTATAATCCGCAGGGCCCGATTTCCGCGCCCAGTTCATAGTCCGCCAAGCTGGTGCGTTGCGTCTTCGTGCTTTTTTTCCTGGGTGGAATTTTCTTCAGAAGTTCTTCGGCGAACACTATTGAGCCTGAAGAACTGCTCTTGAGGCCCATATCCAGCCACTGAGCACACCAAGCACAGAAAATAACACTCGGTGCCAAGTACAGACAAAGCACCTGGGCGGAAGACTGTGAATGCCAAACGAGCAGCGTCGGGTGACGGCGACTGACTGCGTTGCGCCCTTTCGATGCCTGCATCGCTGCGGTGAGTGGTCGTAGCTAGTCGTAGCGAGATGATCTTCACTTCAAGCAAGAAATCTTGCCATACCATAGTCAAGATATGTGTGCAAGTGTTCGACGACGTGGGCTCTCTCGCGTTGGTGCAGTTGTCATCAAGAAAAGTACCTATCAACATTGTTGCGTGTTTGAGGCTGAAGCTATGACGCATACTTATCTAAACCTAAATTTATCGGTCTGCGGCTACAAACATTTTCGTTGACGTTGCTTAGATGACGTAACCGTTCAGGCCTCGCAATAAATGGTGTTGCGAACTTTTCGGTTGTGTATGAAAACCTATTTGCCCTAATAAAAGACATTTTGAAAAGGACACGTGTCTTCTGCGGATATATATCTTTCAATTTACAATGCAGAGGCAAACAGAAAATCAACTGCGTACATCTACCTCTTAGCATAAGCACCTTTTGCCATTCATTCTTGAGCACACTCAAATATCAGCTTAGGTTGCTCTTGTTTTAGAAGCTTTGCCCTGTTCTGTAAAAAGAAAACAGTTAAAAAAGCTTTACCTTCGTTTTCCTTCTCGCATTTAATACAGACTTGTTTGTCAGCAGATCACACACACAGCAGATATCACCGTGGCACATGCAACTCGAATAACAGATGAGACTATTGCTATTACAATAAAGATTTCCACAAGAGCCAAAACGAGGCTTGCAGGGGTGCACAAGCACATCGAAATGAGATTGGCGCTTCCGGGGCTTGTTTACATTATGCGTAAAAACAGGACGATCGGCGACCAGCGGATTGCAATACAACACCAAGGATAACGATGTTTCGATACATAGAACGCGGGATAAAGACCTCAATCGTCCCTTGTATGCTGTAGTTGTCATACTTCCCATCCAACCACTTTTTAGCACAATTAACTAGAACAACCGAAGAGTTCGCAACACCTTTTAATGCGAGGCCTGAATGGTTACATCATCTGAGCAACGTCAACGAAAATGTTTGTCGCCGCAG